ATATATATATATATATATATATATATATATATATAATCTATGATAAATCAACAGTTGTTGTGACACAGATTGATATATTAGAAATAGGTCTTCTAAGATATTTAAAAAAATTTGTAAACATAAGTAATACATAGCAACAAAAAATTTTTTAATAAATTTATTTTTAATAAAATCAAATGATCACTATAACATTTATTCACCGTTAATTAAAAATATTAATTTTTTTTTTTATATTGTTTTATAATATTTTATTGATAATTTATATTTGTCATATAGTTATCAAATAATTATTGATATATAAAATTTTAATTTAATTTTTTCCATCGTTTGTTTCTTATATTTATAATAAAAAAAAAAAAAAATTTTTTTCCATGATTTACGTATATTTTCTAATTTATTATAAAATAAATATCGATTTTTAGCTCTATGATATATTTGTTTTTCTTAATTATAATGTAAAATGATTGTGCAACATATATTTATCCGTGCTTTTTGTAATTTGTAGAACTGAAAATATAATCCTTCTATATTTACGATAATAACTATCATATAATGCAGTTCATTTATTTTAAAACATTACTCAAGCTTCGATGTTTCATACGAAATTTAATGGTTTTCTTGATAAACTTCATTGCTCCCTATTTATACGTACACTTCATAAAGTATACAAAGTATATAAAATAAAAGACGTTATGAATAAAGATATACGTATAAAAAAAATATAAAGAAATACTTCTTCTACTATTAACTTCTCTATCATTATTTTCTGCATCGTTTTAAAAATTTTCTCATACAAAATAAACAAACTTGCACTAAATCACTTTATCCCAATGTTAAATACTTTCTCTCTTACATTTCAATCTTATAATTATATGCGTAAATATCTTAAAACTGATACTTCTGCTTTCTTTATTCGATAAATGAATACTAATTAACATGTACATCTATAAATATTGTAAATCTATAAAGATTTTGTAGAGAACGTCATCCCCTTATATATTTTATGATTATCAGTGTCGAATCGCAATTGCACGCTCAAGTGAATAATTGACAAGACGCAACAAATTTCTATTTGATTAGCAACTAAAAAAGATGATAAAATAGTTGTGGAACCGAGACTCGGTATATTTTTTGTTCCTAAACTTTAACTTGCAAAATTCACCATCGCTATTACATCCAAAAACATAATGATTTATTGAGATTTTTCTATGTCATTTAATATTAGTCGGCAACATCGCCATCCTTTCCCTTTCCCATCATTATTCAATGACATTCTCACTGTTACGTCTTTTTACCTTTCATTTGTCATACCTTAACATCTACCAAGCTCTTTATAAATCAGATTTGATGATATTTTTATTACATACAGTATCCTACGAGAGCGCGAATGTATTTTTTTTCCTTCTCCTACTAAACCTTTAAAATATGCTGCATTACACGATTCTGAAATACGTTGAACAGCAAAAACACTTATAATTAATGTTTTACAATAAGTCAATAATAAACTATTTGTTTCTTAAATTAATGAACATTTTATCATAATCATACATATTTAATCTTATATTTATAAGCTTATATAATCGATATAGGAATAGAATATTTGAAGCTATAATGCTTCAAATATAAATGCAACTTGTTAATATGCATTATTGAGATATACTTGAGATAAAAAAAAAATAACGACGTAAAACTTATACATAAAAGACTTAAACTTACGAATAATTGAGTTTAAGTAATTTACATAAAGGTTCGATTTTATGAATTTTTCACTTATTTGTAAATAAATCTATTGGATATAAAAATCAAAGAAACTTGCATTTAATATTATAAAAAAAATTTTGTTTTTTTTTGTTTTGTTTGATTTCTACAATTATTTATTAATAGATCAAGTCTTTTGAGTTACGTATCTATAAATTAACATTCATTCATTATTCATTAAATGTGTAGTGGAATTTTTCGACATCGTTCCCTTACAAAATGATATTCTCCATGCACATTGTAAGGATGGAGGAGGAAAAAGAAGAACGGATCTCTTATTTGTTCATGTACAATAATGAAAAATGTAAAGTTAAACAAATCTCTGAAAATATAATTTAAAAAAAATGCAAAAACGTTAAAATTTATTCCAAGCACACGATTAATCTATTTGGAATTATCTGATGAGGCTGTGACTGTTCTTCTGACACGTGTCTAATCAAACATTTTATCGATGAATTTAAAATATAATCGTACAATGTGAATTAAAATGGAAATTTATGTGCTTCGTTATGACAATTAAAATAAATACTAACAAATTTTTCTAACTTTAACAATTATTTCATATTTTTTAGATAGAACCGTTAGTTATTATTGGAATAGAAAAATCATTGTTAGTCGTAAAGGATGTTGAATCATAATTCCAACTTCGAGGCGAAGTTTTTGATTTGTGATATTAACGCGAAAGTGCGTTACTTATTGAGAATAAAATAATTATTATTTGAATAATTAGTTTACTGTTTGCCACGTTCAAACCTCCTCCAACCGAAAGACCGAGAATAATATAAAAATTAATGCTTCGTGAAGCACTACGGCTTAATCAAACTAATTAAGCTCAATCCAGAGTTAATGGTCAAGTAAGGCAATTACATTACGATCCCATCAAATCGAAATTATTCTTCGGCCATGCGAAAACTCCAGATATCTTGATACCTTTTCATTCTCACTTACGCCATGCATTCATCCTCCTTTCTCATCAAGAAGATTTTGATCGACAGTCGTTATTACGTTTCAAGAGGTGTTGAATATCAGAACTGAATACGTCACCTCGGCAACTCGGTTAGGTCAAAATTCCATGAACGATAGAACTAGATAGAACTACTCGTTAAAGTCTCTCTCTCTCTCTCTCTCTCTCTCTCTCTCTCTCTCTCTCTCTCTCCAACTTTACCTACGTTTTTCCAGCATTTTTCAATGGCCTCGCATTATCGGACGAGCGCTTTGTTTGCTTTCGTCTAGATTCAGCCTGACAATAAAGAAGAGAAATCGACGGAAAACGGAACGGAAGAGAACAGCAGAGTTTTGATACATTCAGCCCTCGATGTCTTAACGAGTGGGATAAGCTAGGGAAGCGATCTAGATTTTCTCAATTACTTTTCCGTCTGTCTTTTGCATTTCCGAGCAAATTTATCGCCAGTTTTTAGAAGTTCTATCCTATGTCTATGAGACAGACAGAAGCGCCCGTGGGGGGGGGGGGGGGGGGCACGAGCCTTTGAATAATAGATAAGACTAGAAAATGTTACTTTAACATCATTTAATATAAAGTGCTTTCGATGGAAAAAAATTCTATGCAACCTCATGTCCGGTAAAATTCATCACAACTATTTCCAATTGAAAAGTAAAATAATTTATTAAGACATTAGAAAAGCATTTCTACTCCAAATATCAATAGGTTTTCATCCAATTGTCTTGCTAAATTTTTAACCTTTAATTGGAAAAAAATGCTAATAAAAGTTTATTATTACGTTAAAGTAGAAATTATTCGATATGAAAATAATCTAACAAAAAAAAAAAGACTTTTGAATATTTAAATAATGTAATTTGAAATTATCGTGTGGCTTGTACGGGATGTTTTTGTTATGAAAAAATTGCACAGGTCATGTAATAAAGTTTTAGTGCTTGTATTATTGTAATACGAATTGCTTGAAAATACTTGTAAGAGAGAATTTATTTGCCATCCAACAATGAATAGAAATGTAATGAAAATAAGTGGAACCACGAAGAGGGATGGCAATATGTGGATTCGTTTCAACGTTTTACCGTTGCTCCAACTCACATTGGCAACCGCAGCAAACCAGGCGCGATTCTACATTCAAACGTTACTCTCGATGCTCAATTTTCCTATAGTTTTCCTGCATTGAGACATACTATTAACGCGCCCACATGAGCGAAAGTCGCTCTCGGCGGAACTAAATTTTCATAAACTTAAGACGGAAATACTTTGCACATAATAAGCGTCGCTTTAAAAAAAAAAAAAAAAAAGGGAGACCCGATACATTAATTTCGTAATGGTATTTCACGAACAAATAGTTTTACTTTTTAATAGTAATGATAAAAATAGCTGAAGACAGAACGTAAGTTTTTAACTTTAAAAACTAAAAAATTTATGAGCTTTAATAATTTAAAAGGTTTATAGCCCTAATCGTCGAGATACAATTTAACAAAGTCGTACCATCTTAAGTCTCAAAAAGAAGAATTAGAGGATTTTATATATTAATCGATAGTTAAAATATTCAAAAACATCTCAGAGTTTGGACATTTCAGCTTAAAGTGTTTTTTAAGACGAAAAAGTCAGCAAGGAAACGGAACGATGTAGCTGAAAACTTCAAAAATTCTTTTTGCGAAAAACTAATTGACTTATAAGCTTTATTTAAATTTTATTTATTGCGATATTACGAGCCAAATTACGAACTAATTATATAGATAAAAGAAAATATTATTAAATAATGTTGAATTTGCAATTAATAGTAGAATGTTTCCATGAATTTGTCACTTTTTTAACAACGAGCACTTTAATTAAAATATGCTTTT